TGGAACCGACAGAGGAGTGATGAAACAAGAGCCATACCTGGACAATCACTGGTATAAAGTGTCACCAGTTATAAGACAGAGAAGATAGCGCTATATTGGACACATTCTTTTCGCCGTGTAGGTTCCGGGGACCTATTTTAGGGAAAACAAAAATAGACATACTGTCTACCCAAAAGCATGTCGTAATAGTCGACTAATTGGGAGCTTCCTTCGAAGTCGGAGTGCATCTGCCCGAGAGGCAAGGAAAAAACAGTCTGCATACAAATAAGTCAGATCTGTCAAACATCCGTTGCACACGCAACACTCAGGTTCTGGAACAGGACTGCAGTCCAGAAGTGGACAAACAACCTGAACTTTTCGCCGGAGTTTACAGCTTGTGACCGCGAAACCACCCCTCCTCCCCCCCCCCCCCAAAAAAAAAGACACATTCTGAGAAGAAACAAACAACGAATAACCAAAACATTTCGTTCGTTCGTTCTACTTCACTTAGCCACGTTCGACCTCTGACTATGGAGCTAGCCTCGTCCTTGTCAATATCGGTTATAATTATGGCAACAAATTGTGTATAACTGTATTTTTGTAGTTCGTCAAAGCATGAGAAACTGTATTAAAGGGTCGCGGCATTAGGAAAGCTGAGAGACACAATGGGCTAGACGCTCGACTGCGAATTGGATGTTCGTGGATTCAAGTCCCGGAGGAACCGGGCTTTCTTCAAAAATGACCTTGGCTCCCAGGTCGACCCAGCCTTGAGTGGGCACCAGGTGCAGACCTGGCAAGTCAAGGCGGCCGGCGTAATGCTGACCACAGCTCTCACTAAGTGCCGATTGGTCGTTTATAAAATACTGGTCTAGACTTAAATGCCCAACGCCGTAGAAAAGGGCTCTTCATTTTTTTACTATACTACGCCCCCGCCCCCTTCATGTGACTGCATTCAGTCAGTCAAACATTTAGGCCCTTTGTGATATTTACAGAATGTCCTTGCCCGGCTCTCTAGCGTAGTTGGCTTAACCGGATTGCACGGAGACCGGGTGTCGAACTCCTTGTTGTCCGGGTTCACTCCCGGGGGTAGGCAGGAAAGCCACATTTCTCCCAGATTTAGGGTATTTACAATGGAATCAAGGCCGAAAGGTTGCGATATCCACAATACCGAACCTAAGGGTTAACAACTCATGGCTTCTGGATACTAAAATAAACAAACAAACAACAGAATGTCTTTAAAATGCAAAACATTAAGGCATCGTTTCTAATGCAGTGCCGCACCGTGCACATGATGCTAGACTTATTTTAAAGAGCCAACCGGCGCTCTCTAAGTGATGTGGTCTACATCACGCCGGCCGCCTTTACTTCCTTAGCCACTACCTGGTGTCCATTTTTAACTGGGTCGACCTGGGAGCCAAGGTCAGCTGGAAAAAAAAAAACAAGAGTTCCAAACTTCGGCTTCGTCTTCTCAGCGTTCTCTTGTTGCAAGCTATAAACTCCGGCACAAAGATCCAATTGTTCGGATATTTCTGGACTTTGGTATTCTCTGTGAACTTGAGTATTCCGTGCAAATCCGTTTTACCTACCTGGCGTATTTGTATGCAGACTGTTGTCTCCTCGTCTCTCCAGCAGATGCACTCCTACTTCGATGGACACGCCTTTCATTAGTCATCATCCACGATATTGATTGTTAAAGGGGCAGGGCCCCTCCCTTCTATAGGGCTCAAGGGGGCGAGTCTCAACAAAACATGTTGATTGGTGTTTTAAATCAGAAATTGTGTTGAATCGTGATCTGGTTATATCCTATTAGGCTTCTCCGCACAGGTAATCAAAACCAGGAAGCACAACAGAGTGAAAGGAAAAGACACGCACAAACATATCTCAACGTTCCAACAGAGAAAACAATAGCGGTGTATGTTTCTAGTGTGTAAGTAACAGAACTGGAAATCCTTATACAGCCATGACTAGAATATCTGAAAGTCTAACACTCCACCCTTCAGACAGAAGGAATACTTTTGCCTACATTATAAATGACTGTTCTGTTCTTCAGAGAAGAACTTTCAAAATGGTTCCCTCACCTTAGTGTGTCGGCTGCAGTGTGAACGCGAGTCACGTGAACGTAAAGCGTTAGAAAGAATAATAGTGTTTATTTGTGTCATTCAGTTTGTTTTATTAGTGTTAATCATGCATTACAACAATTATTCTCGTCAATGAAATACTGTACATATTTCTTTAATATAAATTAAACGTTGTCATTAAGCCATTTACACATTTGGGGAAGGGGGAGGGGGTTGGGGAAGGGAGCTTAAAATGTCTAAGTCACCCCATCCATTTTTCCCAGTTCCAGCAATTTAGGTTCAATGCCAAGCATGCCGTAAGTGTTGATCTGAACCACCACGAGTTGTTGATATACATTATATAATGTTTCTGTGCAGAAATGAAAGATAGGCACTGCCGCTGTTCCTGGCCTCGGGGAGAAAGGCTGGAGCTCAGCAACAGTCCCCGAGGAAACAGTATACGGGGGCGCGAGGTGGCTATATCACTCTGGAATGCTCTGCTACGACTGAAAAGATATGTGCATGCGGGATATGAATGATACAGGTACTGAAGTAGATTCATGAGACAAGATGTCTTGGATCACGCCGCATAGACTACCGGGGAAAGGGGACGGGGGTCTCTATGTGATAAAGTGGTCAAGCAGTTTGCCTGGCACTCTGAAGGTCATGAGGTCGTTTCACAGAGGCCCTTTATATAGATTTCGGTTGGGCAGAGGCCACCCACTAACAATATTTTGTTTAGGTTGGGAGCCTATGGTTTCTGAGCCGTCAGATTCTGGGGCCGCAGATATTGTTTCATCTAACACCGATCTTCGTAGCTTCCGTCGTCATTACTTCAATCAGTCTTATGTAACATGGATGTGCCGGCTGTTGTATAGGGTCACCACAGTGTCTTGAACATCAATATACTGAGCTGAAAACGGGACACCTAGTCAGTCAACTCCTCCTTACCCCCCCCCCCCCCCGCCCCCTCCTTTCTCGCCAACCACGCTTATTTGTTCACCAGGTTACGGAGGTGAAAGGGTTAACTACTGGATTGTTTATGGTACATTAAAACCCGAATGACCGCACCCAAAAAATCAACGAAACAATATGCTCCCTAACTGATTAGATTAGAAAAAAAAATTGCTACAGTGAAAATTCGCATTAATACATTTAAGGTATTTAAAGTGTCTACAGTTGAAAAAAAAAAGAAGCCAATAAGAAACCTAGACAGAACGAAAGTATAGACGATGGAGGTGATGGCAGTGAAGCAAGCGTTTGCCTGGCTTGAAACACAAAAATACACCCGCGTATGTATAGTCAGTGATTCAATGAGTATGATCCGGAGGGTTCAGGCAGTTCGAAGATAATGGCTTGAATCATTACAGAAGTCCACTGTGCGTGGAGTCACCTTTATTTTTGTTCCGGGAGACGCAGGCGTCGATGAAAATGAAAGAGCTGACAGGTTGGCTGGATCCGCTATCACTACCGACGGTCGGCCTATGGATCATGCTGATATTATCAATGCCCTCAGAGAAATTGGAAGGATAGAGGACATTGGTGGCAGTAAATCCACATCACTCGCCAGAATGGCAGAATTGGGAATTAAGATCGGCATAGCAAAAAACGAGACGCACACCAGACACGCCAGAGGACTTGTATATCAACATAGAACTGGTACTATTAGCCATCGGACGTTGGGGTTTATACTGACGGAAGGATCTGAGCACATATGGACATTTCCGGAGTGCAATGATGATAACCCAACTAACTAACTAACGAAAGTATATTATGTGATCACTCTTAAATTTGTATAAAGCAGGACAATAGTATCCCCCCCCCCCCCCCCCCCCAGTGTAACGACCGGACGGCTGGGGCACACATAAAAACCGGACTTTCCCGGTAAAAACAGGAGTATGGTCACCCTAGGGTAGGGCACGGCCATCTTGAGGCTATTTATAAATAGAGAAGGCCGTGGGCTATTCAACTGACGGACTGCGGGCCAAAATCTGGCCTAGCAACCTGTCCCCGGATTATGTCTATTATACTGTATTAATGATTTTTCGCCTCCGAATGATGGGTCTGAGTGATCGCGTTTAAAAATATACCCTAACAGGGCCTCAATGAAAAGTTAGGATTTATTTCTGGCAAATATGGCAGGCACTATCAGATCGGACACAGCTTAGCAATAATGTTCTACTAATTGGAAAACTGGCAGCTGTAGATGTTAGACCTGCCGACTTATATATATATATACACACACACACGTGTGTATTAATGAGTTAGAGTTACGGTTAAGGTTAGCCGTAATCCTAACTAACAATCAAACAATGAAAGGGTTATGGATGCAACTCAAACGGAAGCAAACCTATTGAGGCCCTGTTAGGGTATATTTTTAAACGCGATCATTCAGACCCATCATTCAGTGAAGAGCCGATTCTTTTATGCAGAGGTTCCAGTCCCTGGTCCCTGACGGTCCCCATTAATCAAACATGTTGGCCCCTAAGTAAAATTAGCTGAACAGCCCTTGTATGCTGTTGTCGCTTTTGTAAATAGAACCAAACCGCACGTTCGTTGCCTCGCACAGCTTTACTTCCTGGACAATATTTCCACGCAAGGCTTCATAATTTTGACAAGCTGACCACTGATGCTTAGTGTCCACTCATGTCCCTTATGTCTATTTTGAACTTTATACAATGCAGAACGTCAATGGAATCTTATCAAGCGTCCTGTTGGCTCGCGTGGGCGATCACCCATCTCCACAAATTGTCTTACTCTCTCTCTCTCTCTATCTCTCTCTCTCTCTCTCACTCTCCATGAGCCTTTTCAGCTGTCAGAAAGGACTCTTTTATTGGAAATCTGTCTTCTCCCCCTCTTAGTTCACCTGTTGTAAACTCCGGCGGAAAGTTTAGACCGTTCGTCTAGACTTATCACCTGTTACACAAATAATAGCACAACAGAGATAGAGTTACTACAACTTACCCCTTTCTTCTCCAAAAATCCTTGCATCTCCGCCGAAACACACATATAGGAATCACGAGGACCATAGTACAAATGTCCACTGTCGTTGTCCGCCATAAATATTTCAATTTGTTTACTCTTTCACTTTAAAGATTTGTTTAACCAAATCTACGCCAGGCAGTGGAACACTTGACTGAAACCGGTGTTCACAAACCGCCACTTCAGGATCGTATTTACTGTAACGAGTATGCCGTGCAGGTATGATCTCTCTTCCGCAGTCTGTGTTGACTGTGTTGCTAGCGTGTTGAAATGAAGTCAAACTGAACGACAGGGGGAGAAAACACACGGTAGCCGTCCCCTAACCGAAATACAGAAGGGAAAACACGTTGTTACGGTCGCCTAGCTTTGTGTATGTGTCGTTTGTGGGTTGTCAGCAGACGGGAGCCCACAGTGTCAGCTGAGAATGTCATAATTAGGTCAGCGTGTGTTGTGATAAGGCCTTCTAAACTGCCCAGAAGCCATTACAACTTGAAATGTAGGTTGATATGTGACCTTTATCTTTCCAAGCTCGTTCCCCTTTTAAGATATATATATATATATATATACATACATATATATATATATATATATATATATATATATATATATATATATATATATATATATATATATATATATATACACACACAGAAAAATAAGTTTATGGACACAAAAACAGTCCAATACAGAAATTCTGGAAAGACTACGAATAAAAAGAGGATCGGGGGACAAATTAAAAAAAAAAAAATAAGAGAGAGAGATAACTAAAATGCTTCAGCCACTTTAAAAGACATAATTTGCTTAATAAACCATACTGGAGGAGAAAGTCGAGTACAAGAGAGCAAGAGGTAGACAATGTTACAAGTCGGAGGACTTGATCAGTCTGAGATAGTGTACAACCAAGACAAGAGCCAGCGTGACGGAAATCCATTGCAGACAGCCTTCGGTACAGAGACGGCACCTGATTGATGATGTGTGTTTTAAAGAAATAATGATGAAATATATAAGAATTAAATCACCACCACCGCCGCCATCATCATCAAGTGTATTGCCGAGAGACCACACACCTCCCTACTACTTGCTATCTCAAACAATATGTCTCACCAGTTCGTGTGCTGACACCCCTTCACGCCATGAAGCAAATGTGTTGCTTCTGACAGACAGTGAACGTTGCCTTTTCCTCTATGTCTAGACTGAAAGGATATAGTTTTGTCGGAGGCTGAAATGTTTTGGTCATATCAAATGCCACAACGGATTGGAAAAAAAATATAGCGGTTGTAGCCTTATTAAATCCATTGCCGGCTTGCTAGGCCTGTCGCAACTTCACCAGAGCCCTGTCGGCCAGAACGTTTCAGGATGACCCAGTATAGCCTTCATGGCTACAGTAGCGGTCCCGTGGCCACCCCATACTACGCCCAACCCTAGCAATCCCCTACTTTGTCCTGTTACCACCTCTAACGTGGGGGTGGGTTTTGAGAAGCTGCCACATAATTGGTAATGCCTTATGTGATTACATCTGATCGCGTGTGCAGTTGCTGATCTGTTTATGGCTGCTGCTTCCGTGGAATGATGAACTACATTTCTAATGTCGGACTGTTTGTATTAGTACTTATGATGGCTGCCTTATGCTTTTAATGGGCGTGTATGCTAGCGGATATGCTGAGACTGCAGCCTGTGTCAATTTTTGCATAATCTGTGAGCTTTACGTTGCCGCAGGAGCGGAGGAACTAGGGAATGATCTGTTTGCTGTAAAGCTGAAACAAAGATTACAAAGTTTACAAATGAGGCAGGGGCAGACATGACTCAACCTGTGGTGTAAACACAAATTTTACTTCTCTTAGTCTCAAACTGTTAAGCTCTTCTATCTCAGGGAGTTGAGCTTAAAATCAAGCAATGTTTAGGCCTGGACGAGTTCAACATCGACACTGTGGGACATAAGTGGTCAACTAATAATTCCGATTGCGAATAATAGAGGGCGAATATAACACCCATCTGTAGCCCCTTCACAGGAGCCTCCCCACCGACAACCCAAGAAGACCCTTTAAAGGACCCGCCCAAAATATCCCTAATTCTAATTCCACTGTCTAAGGGTTGCCCAAGAAAAACACAAGTTCAAACTGAACTTTACGGGCCGTTAAGAAAAATACAGAATACAGTATAGTTCATACGAGAGACGACATTACAGATATAGATAATCTATTTCGAGCGAACTAAAAATAGGAAACTACCCCTAACACATTCCCTACTATAGGACCTTTCAGGGAACTCCCTAGAAATGTCCATCTAAATCGTGCAGCTGACGAGATGGGGTGAAAAAGCTGAAAAGTACCCTGTGCCATTTGGCCATGGCAGTCATGTCTATCCTCAACCTTCTGTCTTGCGTACTTTCAATCAACTCCGGCACAGACGATCTCCCATTCCATGTCGCAATAGTAGTCACGTCTATCAGCAACGTTCCGTCTCTTGTACCTTCAATAAATTCTGACACAGATGATCCTCCTAATGACATGATGTCAAACTGTCTAGCATCTTTTCTTTCAGTCTCCGTCTGCTTCTCTTCCCTTCCAATTTGCCCGCTGTCACGATGAACCTAAGGTTTCTCCTTCTCATGACCTGACCATAGAATGTAGATTGTCTATTTCTGACGTGGGCAATCAGTTCTCTTCGTAAGTCATTTTCTTTCAAGACATATTCATTACGCTTTTGATCTGTCCAGGGCATTTTCATAATTCAACCATAACACCATATCTTCGCAGCTTCCAATTAATTTTTCACTAATCTACCACTTATCTATGATTCACTTCCGTACATCAAGATATGATTTACGTGGCTATTAAGAATTCCCATTCTAGTCTCAAATGACGATGAAAAATTGCATAAAATATTCTTTATTTTGTAAAATTCTGCCTTTGCATGGGCTATTCTACATTTAAATTATTTAATACATCTTCAGTCTTCTGTTATCAGGGTACCCAAATATTTTCAAGAATCAAATTGCATAAAGATTGTCCGAGTAGTTTTAAAGCTGTATTTTGACAGGTCCATTATCGTTGTATTTACCATTATTTCAGATTTGTGTGTGTGTTTTGTGACTGTATGTCATAATTATGTGTCATTTCTTGCAGTTGTGATTCATTTTCAGTGATCAAAACTGTATCGTCAACATATAGCAGGTTGTTTACAATAGTCTCCTTAGCCGATATTCCTGTCACACCATTTGTGAATATAATTATTTCACTGTACAAGTTAAATAAATTGAGTGATAGTAAACATTGATTTCGAACGCATTGTTGAATGTTCTGAAAAATTCCAAATTGGTTGTCAATTCTTATGTCTGCTTTCTTTGTTGTCGGTAGATGTTTTATTTTAAATGTTTAGAAAGTTACCACCCGTTTTTGAGGTTTCCTAAATTTGAATAAATTCAACAAATCAACAAAACACAAATTACATGTCTATTTTTATTTAAATTATTAATTTTCTAAGTGTTCTCTAGATAGTTTAGTTTGGTTTGAACAACGGATCAACATCACGGCACACGGCACCCATAAGTGCTCCGTTCTTCTTGTAACTCAAGTGTGAATCAGAAGTAGCTCAGCACAGTGCACAGGCTCTGTAGCACCCGCGAGGATCCTGAAATACTTGGTAGATTTTCAACTCCAAATTTTGCCCTGGCAGCGTCGTTAGGCTACTATTTACGATTTCCAACTGCCCAGGGATTGTTTACGAGCGGAACAATGCACACGGGCGTCTGATGTCACTACCCAGAGACCAGGGGAAACACAAGAAGTTCAAGTCCAGGTGAAAAAATCCCAGCCCTTACAGGGGATTGAACCCCGAACCTCTAGCACTCGAGACGAACACCATGCCTCGAGACCACGCAGCCACCCGTTCTCCAGATAAATATGGCGTTGTTTGTGCCTTTACATTAAACAAAACTATGCTGTTTTACTCTAATTCCAGTCTCAATAATATTTTACTTGTATGACTCATTGTACTAACTGTCCATTGTTCTCCGCAATCCACTGCACCTGATGAGAAAAGTAACGGTATAAGAAGAGATTTTAAACGGTGTCCACTTCTTTAAATATCACTGACAATTTATGTCAACACCTCTCAACTCAGTACACAACAGCTTTTGATTCTTCCATAGTTAGGCTATCTGGAGTTTTAATCACGTTTAGTTTAAAGCCGACTGGTAGACAAATGTTTTTGTTTTTGGTTCAGTAAACGCATCAAAGTGCCCTAAGCCACAAAGGGCCGGGGTAAATATGTAATAATGCTCTGTTAAAACATGTAATAGAGAGTAAATTTACTGGAAGTGTTCTCTAATCACAGAGATTAATAAAGTTTTAGAGATAAGAGGAGACTTTAGACCAGTAGTTCTCAACCTAGGGGTAGCGACCCATTTTTGGGTCAACGACTCTTTCACAGGGGTTGCCTAAGACCATCAGAAAACACATAACTACTGAAGTTAGGAAGTAGTAACGAAAAAAAGTGGATGTTTAGGGGTCGCCTTTACACGAGGAACTTTATTAAAGTGTCGCCACACCAAGAGGAACTGTATTAAAGGGTCGCCACACCAAGAGGAACACTGTATTAAAGGGTCACCACACCAAGAGGAACACTGTATTAAAGGGTCGCCACACCATGAGCAACTGTGTTAAAGGGTCGCCACACCAAGAGGAACACTGTATTAAAGGGTCGCCACAACAAGAGGAACTGTGTTAAAGGGTCGCCACACCAAGAGGAACTGTATTAAAGGGTCGCCACACCAAGAGGAACACTGTATTAAAGGGTCGCCACAACAAGAGGAACTGTGTTAAAGGGTCGCCACAACATGAGCAACTGTGTTAAAGGGTCGCCACAACATGAGCAACTGTATTAAAGGGTCGCCACACCAAGAGAAACTGTATTAAAGGGTCGCCACAACAAGAGGAACTGTATTAAAGGGTCGCCACAACAAGAGGAACACTGTATTAAAGGGTCGCCACAACAAGAGGAACTGTATTAAAGGGTCGCCACACCAAGAGGAACTGTATTAAAGGGTCGCCACACCAAGAGGAACTGTATTAAAGGGT